ATGAGTCTATTGATGTAAAAATATTTAATTGAGTCAGCCATATTCACTCATTATTTTTAGCCGATCATACCAATAGGTATGGTAGGCTATTAGGATTGGCAAAAAAAAAGTTTTTTTAATTTCACTCAAAATGAGTTACTTGGGTCATTAATGACCTACATACAAGATATTTTCATGGTGTCTGTCTGTCTGTCTGTCTGTCTGTCTGTCTGTCCGTCCGTCTGTAACACGATAACTCAAAAAGCGCTGAACCGATTTTAACCAAATTTGGCACAAAAATACTGTGGCACCCGAAAATCCGGCCATTAGTTTTTGGTGGGGGTGGGGCGTTGGTAAGGAGGTATGGGAGGGGGTTAAAAATTTAAAAAAATCGTAACTCCAAAATTACAGTAGCTAGCGAAACGCGGTTTTCAAGTTAAGATTAGGAATAATATTTGCAATAAAATCCATACATATATATAAGCTCAAAGGGTTTTTTTGTTACATCCATCCCGCCGAAACTGCTTTACCAATCTTGATGATTCTTTTTTTAAATGAACGGTGTCTAGATTTGTTATGAAGTATTTTTAAATCGTTGAATGGCTATTTCTTTGTGTAAATCGACTAAATATTAAAACATACCTGAAAAACACCTACACACAATACCTCCAGAAATAAATTATTTGTCATTGTCAGTGGTTTGTCAGTTAGATTATATATCAAGTTTTTAGATATTTTAGGGATCAGTTCATACAGCCAGCTTTAGATATATAAATATTAGAACAAAGGTTCGTTTAAACGACATTAGTGAATTAGCTACACAAAGCGATTTTAGGAAATTCATCCTCTTGGAGGGTAAAATTACGTCGGAACAATTTGTTGTATGAAAATTCCTTACTATCTAGTCTAGAAGAATGAAATCCTACAAAAAGAATTAGAAGAGATTTTTGAAATTCATCAACCAAATGGGTAAAGTTAGTAAAAATTTATATAAAACTTGGTGACCTCTGGATTATACACATAAAAATTGGCACAAAGCATCATTTAAAAGACATGAGTTAATTATTTGGATAAAGCGATTTTATGAAATGTATAATCTTAGGGAGTAGAATAGGGAATGAAAGTTTGCTGTACGAAAATGCATTACTATAACATCTAGCAGTATAAAATTTTATACAAGGGTTTATTTAGTGACTCATCAATAATATAGACGAAAGATTTCTTCTTCAATTATCCCTCAAGGAATAAAAAATAACTATAAATAGAGTATTAGTGCTCTTAATAAACCAAAAAAAGAGATGAAAAATTAAAAAAATATCAAGGGAGTATATTAAGTAAAGCGACAATTGAAAATTTCAAATATTCATTTAAAAACTTCATATTTCAAAACTATTTATTTTAGTAATACAGTTTATATGGGACCATAGGTAGGGGTTCTATCTATAGAGGGTAAATAATCATTTCACTATTTATTATTTTGGAGAGATTTTATTTTTTCAGATTTTGCAAAATTTCTTTGAAATTGATTTTGGTTCGATTTCGAAAATAATCTATATATAAATAAGAAATAAAAAACACTCAAAAACCGCTAAACCGATTTTAACCAAATTTGGCACAAAAATACTGTGGCACCCGAGAATCTGGCCATTAGATTTTGGTGGGGGTGGGGGGTTGGTAAGGGGATATGAGAGAGGGTTAAAAATTTTAAAAAATCGTAACTCCAAAATTACAGTAGCTAGCGAAACGCGGTTTTCAAATTAAGATTATGAATAATATTTGCAACAAAATTTGTAATACCATCAAAATCAGTCAAAGTCGCAGTTTTTGAGATATTAATATATTTTAGTATGGGCGGCTATACGTGCCTCCCGGCGCCAATTTTTTTTCTAATATTAACAGGATCAAAATCCATATATGATTGTTCGTTAATTCATTTTATTTTTGACTCCATAGTAGAATTAACATGTATTTATATTGAATCTTAAAGTAATAATATATCAAAAGCACCCCGTGTTACTCACAACTACCTAAATTTTGTTGTAGCAAATGTAAATATTAAGAAAATTGATATTATTTGATCCAGTAAGAGACTACAAATATAGGAGGGTGTTTCAAAAAACATTATGCCATCTCTCGTGGGGAGATTCCTCACGTAAAAATAAGATTTATCTTTCATATCAACATAGGTCCGATTCTGCTTTGTTTCGTAGCAACAGGGTGTTAAAATCTAAATATTTTTTCGATTTATTATAATTTTCTTCCAAGAACTTTTAGCGTTCCGAATGAAATGTTGAGGGTAAAAGTTACTATTAATGCGATATATTTTAACGCTAAAAAAGTGTCAACATATTCACCAGGGACGTGCATATGGGTTTTATCATTGGATTTTTTTTCTAAAAAAAAAGCATGTACGCCACTGACTTTTTTTCTCTTGTTAGCGAAATAGTGTAAGCAGTTTAATGCTGATTAAAAGTTGTCTCTTAATATTTTGTTGATTTCGACCTCCTTGATGAGATAAACGCAATTTTATTAATTTACCTTGACCCAACTCTAATAGCAACTTATAAAAAAATTTAATGTCATTAACTTGCGAAAGTTTTAAATAAGTACTCATTGATTCCTCATCTAAAATATGAAAAAGAGTTCCTATAAACATGGGTATGGAAATGCATAGTTTTAGAGTTACAGGATATTACAACTTTTTAAAAAGTTTTTTGTAATTATCTTGAATACTATTATTTTTTTTATTTGAAATTGCTGTAGGTTGAACTATAGTAATAATAACTAAGAATAATGATATTTAATAATAAATTAGGTAAAATATATAATTGAAGAGTGGAAATACCAAAGGGGGTAAATGCCAAATTTTTCAATATTAAGTTATTGCATTAGAAATGTAATAAATACCATACTACATGTCCTAACAAAAGTTACAAGTGCCTAGCGAAAGCGTGCATTTTTCATGTACAGAGTGTCCCATTTTGGTTGAAATCATACGGTATCTCCGTTATTCGTGAAGATCGAAGAGTGCGATTTGCACAAACCTGTGCCACTTTTTTGTCAAACGGAAGATGCTGTCAACAAAATTTTCATAACCCTCTTCGTTTCTGAGCTACAGGGTCTTTTCGAAAATTTTGCAATTTAGGACAGCCGCCGTATTTCCGTTATTATGGATGATATCGAGAAGGTGAAAACTGATTCTTGTAGAACTTCTTACGTAGAATACAGTGGCGTAATCTGTTTTCCTAAGAAAAAAATATTTTGAAAATATGAACTAAAGTTATGTTTTTTTTTAAATGGAACACCCTGTATATTTATAAATCATATGATCCGCCTTGCTATGGGCTTCTTAAAAATATATATCACTCTATAATTATTTTCACTATTTACTGTAATATTTAAAATATATCATTTTCTTATTAGTAGGCCGTGATAAATTACAAAAAATCAAAATGGTATTTACTAAAATAGTCATACATTACACATTAAGATTTTATTTAGGTTTGATATATTTTACTTTTAAACTGTTATCACTGAATCTCTGAATATATTTTTCTTTTTTTTATAATGGAATTTATTATGATGGGTTTGCAAATATCTAAAAGCTTGCATTATTAAAGCATTTTCCAGGTGTTCGACATTGTATTAGTTGCCACGATATATTTTTATTTCAAAAATCCCCAAAATCAGAAATCGAGAACGGACAAATCCGGGAATCAGGGAGGCCATCATATGGGTCCATTGGTTCCAATTCATTGATTTGACAAATAATAATTTAACAAAATTCTAATATTTTCGTTGTAACTTAAGATGTGAGGGGGGTGGGCACATCTTGCTGAAAGTATATTTCACGTAAATTAGCTAAAGGAATATTTAAAAGTTCCGATACGATAGCTTCCAAAATACAAATAGCGGTAGAGAGTTAAGTTTCCTTAATATATAAAGAATTTATTAGTAGCTCTCAAAATAAAACAAGAGACAGATAGCACTATACTTTTAATAATTCTTTAGTTTCTTTTATTATCAATCATGGCCTACTGATAAATACGATCCTTTAATATATTTTTTTAAATAATGCACTAAATAGTGAAAATAAATATAGAGTGATATATATTTTTCAGAAGCTTATGGCAAGCCAGATCATATAATTTATAAATATATAGGGTGTTCCATTTATGAAAACATAACTTTAGTTCATATCTTTAAAAAATATTTTTTCGTAGAGTAACAGATTACGCCACTGAATTCTACGTAAAAAGTTCTACAATAAACAGTTTTCATTCGTCTCGATACCTTTAAGAATAACAGAGATACAGGGAGTGTCCCAAATTGCAAAATTTTCAAAAAGACCCTGTAGCTCAGAAATGAAGAGGGCTATAAAAATTTTGTTTACGGCATCTTCCGTTTGACAAAAAAGTGGCACAGGTTTGTGCAAACTGCTCGCTTCTATCTTCACAAACAACGGAGATATTGTATGATTTCAACCAAAATGGGACAACCTGTACATTATATGTATTTTTAATGATATTTTAAAAATTTATTATTTTCAGTTTTACTGTGTTTTTCTTTTACTGTATTTATCTCAAAAAAATAATTTTGGCACTTACCCCCTTTGGTATTTCCACTTTTCAATTTATTATTATTTTTTTATTATGTGATTATAAAATATCTAAGAAACAACAGCGAATGCAGATTCTGTAGGAAAAATAGGGAAACAACAACAGAACACCTCATCACTGAGTTGCATGGCACGACAAAAAGTCGTGCCATATACTTTGGTACGACTGGTATCGCTATAGAAGAGCTAACCTCCATAAAACCGTCTCAGATACTGGCTTTTGTCAAATCTCCGAGACAATGACCTGAATGATATAAAACTATAAAATAACGGCGAATGAGGATTTTTTCAAGAAACAAAATAACATATTCGTTTAAAAATTCGACTTATAAGATAATTTATAGTTAAGAGGTTGGTGAAAAGGTACTAAATAGGAATTTTGAAAAAGCTTCTTAATACTTACGCCCTAAACAAGTGTGTTTTCTGAATTGCAGGAAACCATCAACACAGCGACAAACTCCTTCTAAGCAACTGCTGTTGGCAACTTTCAACGAGCATTGTTCCGGTACGTGACATTCGTATCCCAAAAGTGTAGCTAAAAAAAATAAAAAAATAAATTGAATAATAACTTAATTGTATCTCAATTATTAATTAATAATCAATAGAATCAAATTTATTATATTATCGTATTTAGTTTGATGTTTTTCTTCTACATATTGTTAGGCAAAATATCATTGTCGACACTATTTAAATATACTGTGTGACAAAAAAGGCAAATAAAATATGTCTAGCTTTGAATAAAAGTTACTAAATTTTCAGGATCTTTTCTTCAATAATTATGCTTATGCACGAAGTAGAAGCAGCCCGGACGCATATTTGTAAACAACATCCATGATCGCTATTCGGTTCTAGACTGAACGATACCGCGTAAATAGCATACGATATCGGTCATCCGTTTAGTAAATAGCATCCGTGATTCCAAATTTTAACGGTTTTTTTTCTAAAACTAAAGCTTTGTCGTATAAAAACTCGCTGCAGCCTTTTGTACTTAACAACACCACCATTGACGTCGTAAAATCTCTAAAATTCTTAGGGCTTTTTGTGGTCAATTCTCTGAAATGGGACATGTATATCGAAGCTTTGTCGAAAAAATTGAGCTCTGCCTGTTTTGCATTAAGATCTGTTTCTAAGGAGCTTAACTTGTCAGTGGCTAGAACTGTTTATTATGCACTTTTTGAGTCGCACCTCAGGTATGCCATTCCATTCTGGGGTACGTTTGGTGCGACTCAATTTGGCCGCATTTTCAAGCTCCAGAAGAGAGCTGTTCGATATTCACTGGGACTAAACAGCAGAACTCATTGCCAGGACTTTTTTAAAAAATTAAAAATATTAACTATTCCTTCCTTATATATATATATATATATATATATATATATATATATATATATATATATATATATATATATATATATATATATATATGAATCCGTTTGCCTAATACGTAAGCATGTATCAGCTTCTCAAGAAAGGCCATCTCACACTTATCCACTCAGGAACGCGGAGCAAGATCTCTATCTACCTACTCCACGCTCAGAGTTAGTTAAAAGTTCAATATTATACAACTCGAAAAAATGCACAATCACCTGCCATTTGAAGTCAAATCCATAACATCATTTTCTTCATTTCGCAAAGCATTGAACTCTTATTTACTTGACAAGGCTTTCTACGCCGTAAGTGAATTATATTTTGATAATCGAATTTGATCTTGTAAACACTGGTCTAATGTTTGCTATTGCTATATTTACCAATGACACCGAAATAAATTTATTTAGAGGTCATTGATATTTACTATAAACTAACTAAATATTTTTGAATATTATTTTTATTTTTTATATTCTTTGACATTGTAAAATTGATATAATTACATCTGTGCATCATATACATTGTATATCATAAAATTTCAGATAAACCGTATGCGAAAATGTTAAAAGTTAACATATGATATGTCAAGTTTTTCAGGGTGTTATTTTCTATTGAATAAGGTAAAAAATACCGATGGTGCCATTTAAGAATCAAAAGTTGAAGTAATTTCCGGTGAAACAGGAAGTGACCAAAAACAATTGAATACGTACATCAATCCTAATTTATGTCATATAGTAACATACCAAATCTCGTTTTCTTATCTGAAAAAGTAAAAAAGTTAACAGGGGTGAGCCACTTTTGAGACGCACCCGGTATAAATTAATACATCAAGAAATTATTAGAACACCTTTCGTTAAAAAGGAAGAAAATGAAGTAAGTTACAGAAATTAACCAGAGCAATAATTACTCAAAATAAATTAACTTGAAAAAATCAGATTATCAATCGAAACCAAAAAATGAATGATAAAATGAATAAAGTTACAGAATGTTTTAAATTTCCAGGGCATTTAACCCAATGTTTAGAGAATGACTAGTTTTACTTCAAAAATTACACTTTGTGTAGTTTCTTTGGAGGCAAAATTTAACTGTCAGTGGAATAAATTAGTGGTTTCAATTTTATTACACTTTATACTTTTTAGTTTACGATCATTCACAATGTCTAAAAAACATAAGTAAAATGAATGGAATATCCTAGCAACAGTTTGCGTTAGTCAGTTGTATCCATAGGGAAAGCCTAATATTTAGCTTATAAAACAATAAACTTTTGATTTCTAACCACAATTTTTCTTGACGGATGGTAATCAAAGGCCAAAATGACATTCCCCGCAAATGAAGTATAATTATTGGAAAAATTAAAAGCTCTGTTAATTGAAAATTACTACCACTAATTTTCACACAAAGTCAGAACCTCGCAATTAATGGAATAAATTGGAGGTTTCAATTACACTTTATACTTTTTAGTTTACGATCATTTACAATGTTTAAGAAACACAATTAAAATTATTAATAGAATATCCTAGCAACAGCTTACGTTAGTCAGTTGTATCCATGCACAAAGAAATCCTAATATTTAGCTTATAAAACATTCAACTTGATCGTTCCCCTAGGAGTTGCAAGACCTTGTCGTTGGTGGGGAAGCTCTTGGTCAGGTGCTGGGAGAATCCCCCCTAGCTCTTGGCTTGGTCTAACAATCATCTTATTCATCGTCTTGTCCCTGGCTGTAGTGTCGTGACCAGGGAATTGCACCAAGACTTATAACGATGCCGGACGGAGCTACCCCTGTCCGTCATACCAGGCACCCTCTACTGACTGTGGTCATATCTCGCGGGTAGAGGGTGTGGGGGGGTCTGGGCTTAACCGCCTGGACCAAGAGGAGACAACCTCACCACAAACCTAAATCCTACGATGGCGGGACCACGTCAAAGAGATGCGTGGCTAGATAGAGGACTATCCATTACTGGCTTCAACCTTGGGCCATCAGGGGGCACCCCATTATATTTACCCCTTCCTTCTACATGCGAAGCTCTGTAGAAGTGGACCGACAATCCCTAGAAACTGTTGGGAACACTATGAGATCTAGTATTAAAAACACCACCGGTGAAGCTGTGTGGAAGCCCCCTAGCGACACTGGGAACATTACAAATGAAAGTTCCAAGGGACCAAATCCAAAGAAAACTACAAGAGTTGCGGCTGACACTTGCTTGGGATCATCCTCCACAAGTGGCACACAAGCTACCACCTTCTCCGCCAAGGGTCGGGAGTCTACCTCTAGACCCAATAAGCGACACAAGCTGCCGTTTTGTCTACCCAGCCTGGGCCAACCAGGCGGGCTAGACGGCCCTCTGAAAGTAGGTCTTAGCGGAGCAGAAGCACGGGGATACCTCCGACTGCTCCACGAAGGACTTGCTCCAGAGGAAGCAAAAGCGAAAACACTCCTCCGAAAAGGGGAGAATAAAGAAACCAAGAAACAACCTGACTCATCTCCATCAAAGGGCAAGAGAGGGAGCTAGAACCTCTCACCTCTTCAGGGAGAGAAAAAAGCCGTCCAACACCGGGAGGCAAACAGGGACGTATCACCAGCTTTGCCGCTATTGCTGGACAAGTGAAAATGGCGGTGCTGCCAAAGGATTTCCCAGAGGTTGCTCTGACCACCGACCAGCAAACGTCTCTAGAAGAGGCTATACTGGACGAAGTAGTGGCGATCGGATCGCAACACAACGAACTACAAAATGTGGGTCAGATGCGTTTTGCGGGGACACACTTTCGGGTGGGCATGATCCTCATAGATTGTATACCTCAAGAATCGGCGAATTGGTTGGTGGAAATCGCATCTAAGCTTAAAAATTGGCAAGGGCTGGAACTGGTTACAGTGAAGGGAGAAAAGATCCCTAAGAGGGCGGCAAGCACGGTCTTTCTGCCGAGGAGCAAGGGGAAAGCACCACCTGCTGAGCCTTATCCAGGGTCAGAACTTCAATGTAAGGACATCGAGTTGGCGAGCCATCAACTCGAGGGAGCAGGGTCATGGTCAGGTCCTCACAATAGAAATTGACCTCAAATCCAAGGAGGCAATAAAGAAAGAGGGACATATCCTCTATTATAGATACGGGACAACACCGGTATCATGTCTAAGGAGAACCAAGTTAAAGAGGTGAATAAAATGGGGACAGCCTCCACCTCACGGGTTCCTCAGCCGGAGACAAGCACCTCGACTGTGAAGGGCAGCACGGAGGGCCAAACTCCAACCGTGGAAGGGTGTGTACCCTCGAAGGAAGAACTGTTGTCAGAGGAGGATGGGAAATACCCTGTCAAGGGAATGATGGATTATAGACTGTGTGATGACTCAAGGGGGGCACAATAGATTTTTAAGGTCGCAGTGATTAACCCGCCCCCTCTTACTCATTCTACATTCTACGTTCAACTTAATTTCTAACCACAATTTCTCTTGACGGAAGATAATCAGAGGCCAAAATAACATTTCTCGCAAATTTTGAAGTATAATTAGTGGAAAAGTTAAAAGATTGATAACTTTTTATACTAATTGAAAATGCCAACCACTAATTTTGACGTTCTCAGCGCTTACATGAAATTAAAGGAACAAACTCTACGCTAATTGAAACCACTAATTGCCAGGTTCTAAATGAGTCTCTAAAGCAAAATATATAATATTTACTGTTGAATAACGATATTATATACAAGTTAACCCTAATTTAAAGAATCGTTAAGACAATCCTGCATATTAAAACAACCCATTCATCCGTATCTATAAAATTATTCAAATCCCATATGTTTAATTCGCACAAGCACTGCTCTAATACACCGCCTGCATTAATTCCCTCTCATTATATCAAAATATAAAGACACCGCTGTTCCTCGTGATGTTAATTCGCCTATGCAAAACGGCCTTTAAGGCGGCCTGGCTCTTAACATAAATTTAAAGTTTATCAGTATTGACATTGCTAACCTTGATTTTACTGCCAGCCGAATGGCCGTATACCGATGGCGGCTATAATGGCAACAAACCCGTTACTTTATTTTCAAACCGTGTCAATTATGTCCGCCTAAAAATAATCTAGATTAGCAGAACGCACACCGCCATGTGTACAATGTACCAACATTTTTAAGCACCTTTATGTGCGTACGCAAAAACGCGTTTTAAAATTATGATTAAACGTA